AAAATTTTTATTAAACCCAAAAATGAGAAAACAAAAAAAAATTCCCTTAAATCTTTTCCAAAAACAAAAAAACAATCGTATTTCAGCCAAAACACAAGGACCACTGTACATTATATTGAACATATACACACATATATATGTATTATATATATCGAACACTAATATTTTATATAGTAAAAATGTATATTGTATATAAAGGGCGAATATGTGAGTATTAATGTTAAAAAAAGAGGGTAATTTTTTTTCATTATTTCGGTTCCAAAAAAAGAAAAAAAAATATTATAAACGAATAACATTATACTTTTTTATTACAAATAAACAAAATCCATATATATAGATACATATACTTATATATACATATGCAATATACACATATACGTATCTACGGATTTGTATTTTATATATGTATATTAATAATATTGTAATATGGCTCTTGTTTGGCATAAGAACTGCGCGTGTCCCTTCATTGTTTCATAAAATTGTAATCATCATCATTATCATTATCATCTTCATAAACAACAGCATACAAAATGGAAACAAATAAAAAAACGAAATCACATTCATTTTATATTAACGCAATATCCACACGTTCTTAAATATATACTTACATACATACATTATATAAATTGTGTGTGTTCATAAAACATGCATGGAGACGAATTTATTAGGTATACTTTTTTTTCTGAATATTGTAAACTTGTATTTATGTGCATAGATACATTTTGTACACTTATGAAATTGTTTCTGACAAAAGAAAATTTGGAAAATGTACTCATGTTGCTGCTTTTTAGTGTCGAGCATAAAATGGTATATATAAAAAAATTTTCATATAGAGGAAAGTAAAACATCCACTCAAACTCTTTTATGCTTCTCTTTTTTATGCTCTTAATTTTTGTTTTCATAAAAAAGAAAAGCGAAACAAATAAACAAAATGTTTTTATGTACTTATGTATGCATTTCCACCTATTTACATATTTTATTACATATAAGAAAGTGAATGAATTGATTTGATTATTTTACTTATAGTTTTTTGACTACATTTATAATTTTTTTTTTGTCAGAAATAACAGTGTAACAATAAATAATTTTTGACGTGTTATATTGTAAAACAAGAGAAGGGAATTTTAATTAAATTAATCTTGCAGATTATCGGTTTTATTCAGATAAAAAAACAAAGACGAAAAATTCAAAATAAGTAATAACTTGTTATTGTAATGATTTTGAAAATATTCAATTGATTTTATTTCAACCTTTGTAACACATACGATGTTTTAGTTTAAAATTTGATAATAATTTTGAAAGGATTGCATCGAAGATTATGTATTCAAAGACTTTGTTTGCCTTAATTTGATTGCTAACAAAATTGCAGATAATTAATCCGTAATATTTAATTATCACTCATTTATGATGTGACAAGGAATTTTTGGTCGAAAAAGACAAAAAAAAAATCTGTGGCAACAAAGCAAAACTTTTTAAGATGAAAAAATTTTATTTGTTTATTTTTATTAGAAGAATGTCCTATTATTTCGAGTATCTGGAAAGCTTAAAAAAATGTTATTACATTTTAGAGTTTGTCTGATTAGAGTTTGTCTAAATTAAGAAAAAATCTCTTATTTTCAAAAAAATTTTTTAACACAAAATTTTCATCTTTAGTTTCAAGTTTTTCAAAATTTTTCAATTTTGATTTATTTGAAATTGTTAATTCTCATATTTGTCAGTTTTGCTTATGTTAATATTTAAATGCAAATTAAAAAATTATTTTATTGAAAAAATTTCCTTTTATCTCCTTTTGCTTATTTTGCGTAATTGGATGAATAAGCAATTTAGAATTTCGCAAAATAACCAAAATTCCAATTTTTGATTTACAACTTTTCGGTAAAAGGATAACTGTAAAAATAAACATTTCGGCAAAGATTTCTGTCAGGGAGTGCCTGTCAGTTTATCTGTCAATTTTAGAATCTCATGCAAGTTCATGCTTACAGTACATTTTTATAATCTTATGCAACAGTTTGATTATATCTTGGCGACATCAGATTTGTTTAATTATTCTTTCAACTTTTCTTCTTCTCCCAGAAGCAATAAAGGGTTCGAAATAATTCAAAACATAATGATTGGAAAATGATAGATTCTCATTAGATTCATTTTAAAATTTTCAAATAGATATAAAAATATTAATAGTATACAAATATCATTTTACATTAAAAATTTTGACTGCTTGCAATAATAAACATGAAGTTGTGGTTCTCAGCACATCTCAATCAATCAAAATTATCAATTTTAGCAACTTAGATCATCCAAGAGTGAAATATGCTATTTTATATTGATTTGTTTTAAAAATACTGTTGAAAGACTATTAAGTCAAAATTAAGGGTTTTTTCAGGTTCCAAGTTGGTTGAAAATTTCAAATATTTATCTATCAGATGCATAAGAGGTGTAAAATATAATTTTAAACGACGAACAATTTGTCAATTTGATGTGATTTCAAGTTTACCCAGATTTCAGTGGAACCCATGGAATCAGTTTTTTGCGATTTTCTTAAAAATTGGTTTTTTGAGTTAATACAGTTTTGTTATTGTGATGCATTATGTGTACAAATAATATATATATAAAATACATGTGTGTTATACAGATAGAATTAATATTTTAATTTTGCATTCCCCCTCAAGTGAAAAAGCATTAATTTCGTTATTCAATTTTTTTTTTCATTTTACATAAATTTTGCCCTCCATATTCTTTTTTATCATCTCCTTTAGACAAAAAAAATTACAGATTTTTGTTTTTTTTTTTTTCTTTTATTTATTTGTTTTCTTTTTTCTGTTTTTGATATTTTTTATAGGATATTTATAAAACGACCGACCCTCTTTTTCACTAGATTGTGTTTTTTTTCTGTACTATATATTATTGCTACTTTATTTTCTTAAAGCGATTATATATACACTATACATATTACGTGTATACGTATAGATGTTTAGGTGGTAATGCATCTCATGTTTATAAGTATGTATAAAATTTTGTACATATTCTAATATAACATTATAATATTAAAGCTTAAAGAATAAAAGAAATAATAACACTCGACTTCATATATAACATTCACTATAGCATTTATTATTTAATATACATATGTATATATGTATGTATATCTGCTTATATCTTACATACATATACGTTATATAAGTACACGTACATTTTAAGAATATTTTTTTTCCTTTCATATAAGTAAATAACAAAAGCATCCCCTCAACTTTAGCGACCAGAAACTGTATTACTTAAAAAAAGGCAAAAAAAAATGAAAAACCCTCTTAGCAATTTTCTTATTTTTTCATCTAAAAATGATTTTTCTTTTTGTTTTTTATTTTTCTCTCCGAATATTATTTTTAAGGATATTTATTTATAAAGAAGAAGAAGAAGAAAAAATGGAAGAAAATAGAAAAAAAAAATACTAAATTTAAGATATTAAAAGATTTGTCTCACCCCAAAAGACAAGAGTTTGTTTATGTTAAGAAGAAGAGACCATGCCTGCCACGTTCCCATTTTATTTTTTATGGGCACAAAATCTTTATTGCCACATTTTTATTGTTTTGCTTTTATACATGTATTTTTTTTATTTTTAAAGTATTTATATAGTCGTTCAGCTTGGGTATATGCACCTTTGATTCGAATTTGAATTTGATTGTTACAAAACTTCGAAAAAGTTGTTATGACAAAAATTTGTTTTTAATATTTAAAATTTCCGATTCGTGAAGTATTAATTGGAGGTTTCTTGGTTTCAAAATAATTTGACAAGTCTTTACGCATCTATTGACAATCTTTAATCTTATAGTGATTTTAGTAAAATATTTTCATGTTAGAAATGTTTTTCAGGCGAGTTTTTATTAAATTTTTCTTTGAAAATTTAATTGTTACATTAATAAATGCAAAAATGGACTGAAACTTGAACAAATACTAAAAATTTTTCAATATTTTAAAATGCATAGAATTTGTATCTCTTTTAGTTTTAATTTTAATTTAGTTTCATTTAAGTTAATTCCATTTAAATTTCAAATTACTAAAATGAAAGTTTTATTTAAGTCATGCAGAAAATTTAAACCACAATCATCGAAACCCTTTAGTTTTATTTAAAATTTTAGAAGCTTTTTAAATCAAGTTGTTATGCAATCCAAAACTTATCAATGTATTATGTGGTACAATTGATTTAGTATTGATTTTGGAATATAATCATTTGGATGAATCCATGGTTTTGATATATTCTAAAATCCTTTGCTAAGAGAAATAATAAAAATATTTTTTATGTAAATAGTTTATATTATTCGTAGCTAATTGGGTCTGAGTTCTGAAATATTTAAAACTGTTATAAAAACTCAATCACGTTGTCTTCTAAGAAGAGTCGCGCGGAGACTAGTTGAAAATTTGTATAATTGTCTTAAAATATTTTAAATTTCCTAAATTTTGGATAGTTATAGCTTCAGTAATTGTGATAAAACTGGGTAGGTTTCAAAGAAAAAATATTTTACTTTGACAATTTCCGTTTGATTATTTTAAGATTTAATTTTTTCCGATTGTTCTTTCCTTTAACATCCTTTTCAATTATTTTATTAAAAATTCAAAGAAACAGGGATTTTATTCTTTTGCTTTAACAATTGATGTGAAAGGGCTTTTTTGTGCAGAACTAGAATTTTTTTTTCAACTAAACTATAAAAGGAGTTTTTATTTTGAACTTTAATTTCCTGTTAGTATTAATTAAAATCCTATAATACTTTTAATTAATAAAAGCTTCATTTGAAAGAGATCAAAGTAAATGTACCTAAATATCCTTGTTAAGAAAAGTTCAATTAAAAAAACATAAAAGTTAAATATAAAGCTCCTATTTTCGAAATTAAAAATTCTGTTAGTTTAACCGGATACATTTACATTATTAAATAAAAAAAAAATCCAATTAGCATTCTTTTAAGATTGTTATTTTTAAATGACATTATTTCTTTTTTTTTATTTCATTTCAGACTTTCACAATGCAAAATTGGGACTCACCATTACCACCTGCCAATTATGAGCATAATTGGTACGGCAATATGTTTCCAGTTACACATATTAAAACTGAACCCCAAACAGTATCACAACAAAATCAACAACAATCCTCACAGTCACCACCGTTAACAGTAATGGAACATTTATTAAAACAAACAAATAATTCAAATAGTATCGATATAACATCATCAACATCATTAACACCATCACCACGTCAAGAAAACAATGATAATAACAATTTTTTTGGTGATAATGGTAGTACAATTACAACACCAATGAATATAAATAATCCACATTTACATCCATTGGGCTTTAATCCACTGACACCACCCGGTCTACCTAATGCAATATTACCACCATTAAATTTTCACCAAAATCATAATGATTTACAAAATATTCAACATGATTCACATATGCGAAGCCCTCCACCGTCAAATATTAATAATATATTATTAAATCATAGTGAGTCCATGGAACAGAATTCACAACAAATATCAGATCAACAAGCCAATAATTTGACAAAATTCCAATCGAATGATAATAATTCACTGACACCACGTAATACGCCACCTATGGATATTACACCACCAAAATCACCAAAGCATTATAACAGCGGTAGTGAATATTTAGAAAAAGATACAGACGCAATATCAAATTCTAGTGATTGTGCTGAAAGTGATGAGGATGATGGGATTCGTATGCCAATTTATAATTCACATGGTAAAATGAAAAATTATAAATGTAAAAGTTGTGGTTATAATGCCATTACAAAAATTGCATTTTGGACACATACTAGAACTCATATGAAACCAGAAAAAATTATGCAGTGTCCAAAATGCCCATTTGTTACTGAATTGAAACATCATCTCGAATATCATATTAGAAAACATAAAAATTTAAAACCATTTCAATGTGATAAATGCAATTATAGTTGTGTTAATAAATCAATGTTAAACTCCCATTTAAAATCTCATTCATCCGTTTATCAATATCGTTGTTCTGATTGTGATTATGCTACAAAATATTGCCATTCGTTTAAATTGCATTTAAGAAAATATGATCATAAACCTGGTCTAGTGTTAGATGAAGAAGGCTTACCAAATCCAGCTATTATAATTGATGTTTATGGTACAAGACGAGGACCAAAAACTAAATCAGTAAATGGACGTATATCACATAAATCAAAATTAGCTAACAGCGTTCATTCTATGAATCAATTAAATGCACAAAAATCAAATTTATCACCATTAAAAACATCAAGTTTATCTGATATACGAATAAAACCTGAAAGTAGAATGAACATGATGACACTAAATCAGCCACAACAACCAATTCAACAACAATCGCAACAACGATTGCAATCACAACTTTTACAACCAGTTCAATTACAAAATCATCAATTACAACAAAATCTTCAACAAGTACAATCGCAACCCCATCATCACCAACAAATACAACAGCAGCAGCAACAAACTCAACCACAAATTCCTCCAGCTTCATCACAAATACCGAATTTCTTGCCAAATCCTTTAGCAAATATGCTACAACAACGAAATATGCCAGCATTTTTCCCGTATTGGAATTTAAATTTACAAATGCTAGCTGCTCAGCAACAAGCTGTATTAGCACAGTTATCTCCCAGAATGCGTGAAGTTGCAATGCAAACTTTAAAAATTCAACAACAACCAAACGAATCTCTTAATAATATAACAAACGAACAGCAAAAATTTACTGAATTAAAGCACAATAATGGTGTTTTTCATAATGAAAACAATGAAGATATTAATACGAACAACGATGTTGATGATGATGATGAAGACGATCATAGATCCGAAAGTAGTGCTATGGATTTATCGTCACAAGGAACTCCAACAAAGATAGCCCGTTCTTCGAGCTTAAATTTTGTTGAATCGAATATAGATTCTATCCAAACTGTTGGAAATAATGTAGGGGATAGTATATCAGATATTTCAACACCTACCACAGTAACTGGTTCAAGTTGTAATAATAATAGTTCAAGAAGAAAGGGTAGAGTTCTTAAACTTGAAACATTATTACAAAATAAAGAATCTTCTATAAGTAGTAATGATGATTCTGTAAAAATTCATCCAAACGAAATTGATATTATTGCTGATACTAATAGAAAAGTTTCCGATAATAATGTAATGGAATCTAATGATAATAACAATATGAGTAATAATCAGTCGCATCATCGAAAATCAACATCGACACCAGTTAATAACAACAATAATAATAACATAAATATTAATAACAATAATATTTTACGACCATTATCATCATCATCTTCAGATGAATTAACTATAGTTGAACATATACAAAATAATGAACGTGAATCAAGACTATCACCAATAATTCCTGAATCAAATATCGAATGTAATAGTAATAGCAGTAATGGTAGTGATCTTATTAGTATATCAAATAGTTCAATAAATTATAATCAAAATAATGCCAATAACAATAATAATAATAATAAGAATAATAATAATAACATTTTTAATAATAATAATAACAATAATATAAGTGTTAATCATAAATTTAATAGCAATAATGGTAATCTAAATAATAATAATTATAATAGCAATAATAATAATTATAATAATAATAGTAATAATAATAATAACAATAATAATAACAATAATAATAATAACAGTAATAATAATCACAATAACAGTAATAATAATCACAATAATAGTAATAATAACAATAATAATTCACCATTAACTGGTATATTTGAATGCAAATATTGTGATATTTATTTCAAAGATGCTGTCCTATATACAATACATATGGGTTATCATAGTTGTGATGATGTATTCAAATGTAATATGTGTGGTGAAAAATGTGATGGACCAGTTGGATTATTTGTTCATATGGCAAGAAATGCTCATTCATAATTATTAAATTTTATATTAAGAGAAACCTTCATATTTTCCGTATTTTAAATTTAACAATTTTTCTTTTAATTTAAATGAAATTGCATTTGTTTTATTTTAATCATTTAAAAATTCCATTGTACATATGAAGAATTTTGGATTGTACATGAAAAAATTATTTTATATTGGATTGTAAATATTATTTTTTTTTTTTTGTAATTATATTTTATAACTTTTATTTTCAATTTAAAAAAATTAAAATTTTATTTTTCTATAAAAATGTATTTTTATTTTTCAATTACACTTAAAATTTAAAATAAATAATGTTTGTAGTAAAATTAGTTAATTTGTAAAATTCGAAATAAAAATTTTATTTTCGAAATGAATTAAAAATTTAGTTCTTAAAAAAAATTATGTTTATTTTTAAATATATTAAAAAAAAATTGTAAAACATTTTATTTTTTGTTTTAGAAAATTACGATATTAATATATGTACATATAGAACTTTTTTGATTCTCAAATAAAAACTAGTCAAATTTGATATAGAAATAAAATATTTACGAAAAAAATAAAAGAAATTAAAGTATAGCGAAAACATATTTTGAAAAATAATAATAAATTGTATAAAATAAACGATTTCAAATGTTGACTGCTAATTTGTATTGAAAATAATTAAATTCAATACAAATAAATTGAAAATTTAATTTAAATTTTAAATTTTTTCGATAGAAATTTTTTAATAATTTGATTTTAAAAGGAAATTTCAAATTCGATACGGATTTACCTATGTTATTTCCAATTTAATTTTAAAAAATATTTCAAATGAGAATTTAGTAAATCTCAAATTTTTGTTATTAATTATTTTTATTATAAATTTTTTTTATATTAAAGCGGAATTCAATACTTTGACAAAGCAGTGAATCTAACTTTAATAATAAAAAAATTAATTTACTAAAATTTCAAATCAAATATTCGATCTTAAAAAGTATTACTTAAATTTATTTTTCAAAATCGATTGTATATTTTTTTCTAATTTTTGCTTATAATTTTAAAAAATAAAATTTGAAAAAACAAAAATTTATTTGACAAACTTGAAGACAATATAAATAAAATTATGGTACAAAAATTAAGGAAGAAGAAAATCAAAAAAAAAAAATGAATCAAATTAAAACTAAAAAAAAAATATAATTAAAAAAAAATTCTGATTTAAAAAAAATGAAAAAAAAATCGTAATTTTGTATTTTTAAGAAAAACAAATTGTATAAACAAAAGAAACTTTAAATTGAGCAAAAAATCAAACAAACAAAGAATAGGTACTTACGTTTTTTTCTTTGAATTTTCGAAATTTTAATAATAAAATATTGCAAAATTAATTTTTAATTAAGTAAAATCAAATTAAAATAAGAAAGAATTTTAAATCAAAATATTAATTATATAAGAAGAAAAGGTTGTAAAAAAGAAGAAACCAAAAAAAAAAAATATAAAAATAAAAAAACTCGGAACTTATTACTATTTTTTATTGTTTATTTTTATTTTAAAAATTAAAAAATAATAAACCATAATTAAATGTATAATTAAAAAAGTAAATATATAAAGAAAAAACCAAAATTTCTAAGAAACCAAAAATTTCTAATTATTTATAAAAAAATTGTACTTACGATTTGTATGTACAAAAATTTTAATTAATATTATTTTTGTGAAATAATTACCAAATATTAAAATTAAAAATTTGAACAAAAGGAAACAAAAAATTAATTTACCAAAAAATATGAGTATAAATTAAGAATGGATATTAAAAATCCTTAAAACACAATTTACAATATTAATTATTAAAAAAAAATAATTAATTCTTATTTATATATTGTTATTATATAAAAATTCTTAGAGAACAAATTAAACAATTAAGAATTTTCTTATTTTTTTGTTATAGGACGATTATTTATTTTTTTTTTTTCTACTTAATAAAATTAATTTTATATGTAAAATCTAAAAAGAAAAAAATTTTAATTTTATATTATAAATTTAAATAATTTAATATTTTTAATAAACAATTTAAAATAGTTCTAAATATTTTTCATATATAAATATATATAAATATGTATAATAAAAATGTATGAAATAAATTGTATGAATTTTCTCTTTTAGTTTAAAAAAAATTCTCAAAATCAAAAATTAAAAAAAAAAAGAAAAAAATTGTATTTATATTAAATAAATAAATAATTCTTTCATAATTTTTACTTAAATATTAAACAAAACAAAATTAAAATCTATTTTTTAAGATTCTTAAATATTATTATACTAAATATATTTCTATTGATTAAAAAAATAAAAAAAAATTTGTATAAGAAAAAATAATTAATAAATAAATAAAATTTATGTATCAATTTAACAAATACAAAAATAAGAGAAATTAAAAAGAAATGAAAGTGTAATAAAAATAATAAAAAAAAATTGATTATAAAATGAATTTAAAATGTTTTCTTTTTTGTTTTTCTAAATAAATTTTGAAATAAGTTTTAAAAATAAAGTGGTAATAACTAAACTTAGGTCTTAAAATGACGTTCAATAAATTGAAATTTTAATATCTGCAAAAGCATGTGCTGCAAAATGTCTGCTGAAAAAAAAACTTGCTTAAACAACATTGAAAAGCTATTACTTAGGTACGTATTATTAAAAACAAAATTTTAAAACTACCATGGTAAACGGCAATACTAATGCCATATATATCTACAGGCCATCAAGCTTTCCTCTCTGAGCTCTGAGATCAAAAATAAACGCCAAATTTATATGGAGTTTAAATGGAAGGTGGGTCGGAATTTATTTGTGTGAAAGAAATTGATGAATATTTTTGCCTCTACTGATTCTACATATTTTTTAAATTTAAAATTTAAATTTAAAAAAAAATTGGTTGGTAAATTCCATCTAAAAATGCTTTTTTAAAAAAAAAAATTACAAGTTTTAGCGCAGACAATATCTTCCAAATGGAAGGATACTGAATTACAGAGTACAATTTTTGAATAAAAAATTTAATTTAAAAAGAAATTGAAAAAAAAGGAAAGAAATAATTATTATAATCTAGATGGCTTTTAAAACTATACTAATAAAATGAGATTGATAAAGAATACTCAAAAAATTTCACAAAAAAAATAAAAATATATTTTAATCGACATACTTCGAAAACATAAAACATTAAGAATTGTTTTTGTATTTTTTTCCGATTCAAAATTTCGGAAAATATTTTTAGCTTGGAGGCCTAATAGACATATATGGCATTAGGCAAAACTGAGAAGTATATAAAGAAAAATAAAATTTTTATATGTACTTATTTCGGAATACAAAATTTGATTTTTTCATGTTAACATTTCCTTTTTATTTAACAGGTATTTTTTATAAAATTTTTTATTACAAGCATCTTAAAATAAAAGTTTTTAGAGCATCACTCGTCCGAAAAAAAGCATCCAGAATTTTTTAAATGCACGGTTTTCTCTTTAAGAAACGGAAATTAATTTGGAACGTCAAAGCTTTCGACTTTTTACAATGCGGAATATTTCCATATATTAAATTAGAAAAATTCATAAGTTGGGAAACATGGTATTGAGGATAAAAGCATTAGAAAAGCTACAAAAGTAAATAATTTAGTTTTTACAGACTTATGAACTATGCAAGAAAAAAATTTTTTTTTAAGAGATTTAAGTAAAAGTTAATTGATAATGAAAATCTTAGATTTTTATTTTGGTAACCAATTTTTCTAAACTTACTTTAAGTAAATTGAGCTTCAAATATTAAGCTCTTTTAAATGGTTATCATCTATAACATGTTTTATAATTTGGAAAATATTAAAATTTAAATTAATTTTCACTCTTTTTCTTTAAAAATTAAGAATTTTCCTCGTTACTTTAAATTGAAAATTAATTATCAGGTTACTTATGAATGCACATATGTATAAAATGTAAATATTTTCTGTTTGTTATGCCTGAGAACAGAAATCTAATAAAAGAATTTAATTGCAATATAACATATACATATACAGCAATCCCTCCTATAACGTAACCTCTTACTATATAATTTCGATATACATATGTAAATTTTATTTTTCCTACCTATTTTCACTTAATGTAATTTTTACCTCGTTTTACGTAATTTTAAAATAATTTAATATGCAATAATCTATTTTTTTTCATTTAAATTTCTTTCTTTACCATCAGACAACTTACTAGTTTAGGCAAATATCAAATACATACATACATATGTATGTACATACATATTAGTCATATTAGTTTAGTTGGACCTCCTATAATGTAATTTCACTTAACGTAAAAATTTTTCGGTCCCAAAAATTACGTTATAGAGGTATTGCTGTATGTAAGTTAATAACACTGAATTTTTGAATAAAATAAGTAGCGTTATATCTAACATTATCTTGAGTTTCACAAGGTGTAGTTACGATAATTAAAATTTTATTTAGAAATTTATTTTTACTCTCAATTCTTGCATCTTTTTCCGGACTTTAGCAAGATTTAAACAATATTAATATTTTTTGAATCTCAAGAATATTGAGATCATTTTAATATTGAGCTAAAGATTGAATATTTTTTGTATATATTTTGATGTATTTTATACAAATATATACATATATTTATAAAAATTTGGAGCTCTTAAACGCTATATAGGCGACACTTTGTAATGTTAGCTACTGTAAAAACTAACTAATAGTGATACTTCACCTTTAATTTAGTTTTTTTTTTTCAATTCTAAATATTCGAAATTAATTATCTAATTAAGTTTTGATTTATGAATAAAAATTTTATTTTAAAAAGGAGTAACATTATGTGATAAAGAAAATTCAATACAGTTTGAATAAAAATTCTTAAATTAAATTATAAAAATAAATTTCAAAATTGCAATTAATTTCGACAATATATGCCCAATATTGCATTTTAAAAATCAACTGAATTTAAATGATTGTTTTCCCCCCAAATTATATTCATATTCCTCTAAATATACCAAAAATATTAAATATTTATTTTAATTAATCATAAATGTGTCTTAATTTTAATAAAAAAAAAACAAAAATACATAATAAATGTAAATTAAATATGAAATTGAAAACCATGAGCGCGTGTCTGATCTCATCCCTAAAAATTAACAAAAAAAAAACATCCATTATATTTAGTAATGCGTAG